AGTGTATATATTAGTATCGGTGTGTCTGGAGGAAGTGTTTTGAGACGCAAAATCCATTTGTCTATATGTTCATTCAGAATTTTTATAATGTTATAATTTATGTCTTTCGATTTTTTCTATTATAGTGAATTTGGCATGTTTTTCTAGGCGGATATGTTGTTCAACACGTAATAATTTTCGTGGGGAGCCGACTTGATCTGATTATGATAATTATTAATTCTGAAGTGGAAGGGCCATTTAGATTTTCTCACATAATTTTTCTGTCATAGCTTACATTCTAATAGGTAAAATATGTTATGAATTCTACGGTTAGAGTTGTGGTAGATTTTGAAGTAGATTTAGTGACTGAGCTAGTGAAAAAGAATTATATATATATATATATATATATATATATATATATATATATATATATATATATAGTTTATGGAAAACTATGTAATCCGTATGGGTAGACCCAAGGAATTAAATCCAGAGAGCTCAATGTAATTCCAGAGCAAATAATTTAAATAAAAACAGACCACTTTAAGGTTTCATGTAATAAATTATTTCACCACATCCCTTTTAAAGAACTGCTGATCATCAGACTTTACTTCCAAAGGTTGAAACGAAAAATGAAAATAAATTTACACATTTTTGACGGGCCGTATTAAACATATGTAAATTAACGAAGTGAGGAAGTGAGGGGGGAGAGAGAAGACATGAGTGAGTTAGATGCAATTTAATATTTCTATTCTTTCATACTTAAAATTACTTGAGGAGGTCCAGACATTGACACATTTAAACGGTTAACTTAACGGAAGTTATATATTGATATAGAAGGGGCAGAGGAGAAAAAAGGCATAAAAAGAAAAAGAGAGAAGGAAGTCATGAGAGAAGGTGTCACTAATATTCTTTGGAACGAACAGGCTCGAAAAAGACGCTGTCATTTTGTTTTACTTTGAAAGTGTTATTTTGGGGGTTCATAAAGATTATAATGTTTGATATAAATTCGAAAGTCTAAACTGTCTGCAAAGAATTTAATTTGATGCTTGTTAGTGATTTAAATTTTTCTAAAAAATTTTGGGGATTTTCTATAAAATAGTCGATTAGAAAAATATTCATACAATGCATATTAAAAGAATAAAATTTTATTTTAAAATACAAGTTTACTTCAAGTAATCTTTTTTATTTTTAAAAAAAATTTTTATTATTGATTATTAAGTTGACATCTCTATCCGTTTGGATTTTGTTCATGAATTTAACTCGTGACTATTTTTAGCTGGTTAATCTCTTTTACTTAAAGTTTAGTTAAGTTAATATATATATATATATATATATATATATATATATATATATATATATGCCCGTAAAGGAAATGCGTTCCTGATGAAAACAAAATTATGAATAATAATTGTATCGGACATACAACTACATGCCTACCAAGAAGACTTACTTAGCATCTCTCCGATCATAGTTCCGTTAGGACCCATATAAACAAACACGGAGATCTACCAATGTCTATTCGCAACTCAGTTGCAGGAAACACGAACATCATACACTCGTCTAAATACAGATAGCGTTTAGAAATAATAGAATTATTCACAATAAAAATAAGACAGCAACTCTTAATAATATCAACAAGGAATACGGCCACAACAAATTGACGTGTTCGGAATTTAAATCATTCTTATTGCTATAAAAATAAAAATAAAAATTAAAAAATAAACTCTAGATATCCAGGCAAACAAAAGATCATCCTTGATAATGGATAAAAGATTAGCCGAAAGTGCTCGGATCCACAGCTCATTTGGTCTCTATAGACATTCTATATACAGAAAAGTAATCAAAAATATGAAAACAAGAAAAATATAATAAAAACTTTATCATAGTACATTTTTAGTCCATTTCACCGAAACTTGTATAAAAGAAAATCTGCGAAACAAATGTACAATTGTACACACACACACACACACACACACACACATATATATATATATATATATACGTTTGTTTTAAATGCAAAATTTGAAAAAAAGAAACACAAATCCAAACATAAAATATGAACTGCATCGTCATAGCGACAAGATATATTTAACAAAATTGAAATTATATAACGGTCAGTCTTAAGTCAACACCTGAAGATTACGCTGTGCATAAAATCCAAGTCGTGCTACCGACGAGGAAAAATATGTGTATTGCAATTGGTGTTTGTGATATCGAACATTTCTTTGTGAGGGAATGCACAAAATGTAAACCAAACCACTGTAAATTATTAATAAAACAATATAATAGTAATAATGAAGAGTGCATCGAGCTAGAGTCTGGGAATAAAAAAGCAACAATAATAAGATGGAATAAAACCAGTAATAAAATAATAGTAATAATGAAGAGTGTATAGAGCCAGAGTGTTGGGATAAAAAGCAACAATAATAAAATGGAATAAAATTAGTAATAAAATAATAGGAATAATGAAGATTGTATAGAGCCAGAGTGTTGAGATTAAAATCAACAATAATAAAATGGAATAAAATTAGTAATAAAATAATAGTAATAATGAAGAGTGTATAGAGCCAGAGTGTTGGGATAAAAAGCAACTATAATAAGATTGAATAAAACTAGTAATAAAATAATAGTAATAATGAAGAGTGTATAGAGCCAGAGTGTTGGGATCAAAAGCAACAATAATAAGATTAAATAAAACTAATAATAAAATAATAGTAATAATGAAGAGTGTATAGAGCCAGAATGTTGGGATAAAAAGCAACAATAATAAGATTGAATAAAACTAGTAATAAAATAATAGTAATAATGAAGAGTGTATAGAGCCAGAGTGTTGGGATCAAAAGCAACAATAATAAGATTAAATAAAACTAATAATAAAATAATAGTAATAATGAAGAGTGTATAGAGCCAGAGTGTTGGGATAAAAAAGCAACAATAATAAGATTGAATAAAACTAGTAATAAAATAATAGTAATAATGAAGAGTGTATAGAGCCAGAGTGTTGGGATCAAAAGCAACAATAATAAGATTAAATAAAACTAATAATAAAATAATAGTAATAATGAAGAGTGTATAGAGCCAGAGTGTTGGGATAAAAAAGCAACAATAATAAGATTGAATAAAACTAGTAATAAAATAATAGTAATAATGAAGAGTGTATAGAGCCAGAGTGTTGGGATAAAAAAGCAACAATAATAAGATTGAATAAAACTAGTAATAAAATAATAGTAATAATGAAGAGTGTATAGAGCCAGAGTGTTGGGATAAAAAAACAACAATAATAAGATTAAATAAAACTAATAATAAAATAATAGTAATAATGAAGAGTGTATAGAGCCAGAGTGTTGGGATAAAAAGCAACAATAATAAGATGGAATAAAACTAGTAATAAAGTAATAGTAATAATGAAGAGTGTATAGAGCCAGAGTGTTGGGATAAAAAAGCAACAATAATAAAATGGAATAAAACTAGTAATAAAGTAATAGTAATAATGAAGAGTGTATAGAGCCAGAGTGTTGGGATAAAAAAACAACAATAATAAGATGGAATAAAACTAGTAATAAAATAATAGTAATAATGAAGAGTGTATAGAGCCAGAGTGTTGGGATCAAAAGCAACAATAATAAGATTAAATAAAACTAATAATAAAATAATAGTAATAATGAAGAGTGTATAGAGCCAGAGTGTTGGGATAAAAAGCAACTATAATAAAATGGAATAAAATTAGTAATAAAATATTAGTAATAATGAAGAGTGTATAGAGCCAGAGTGTTGGGATAAAAAGCAACTATAATAAAATGGAATAAAATTAGTAATAAAATATTAGTAATAATGAAGAGTGTATAGAGCCAGAGTGTTGGGATAAAAATAAAAAATAATAAGATGGATTAAAACTAGTCATAAAATAATAGTAATAATGAAGAGTGTAAAGAGCCAGTGTTGTTCGGATAAAAAGCAACAATGATAAGTTATAAAAAATAGTAATAATAATTTCAGCCACTATTAATTAATCATTTTTTACTAGTATTTAGTCACGTCTTAATATTTTATTAGCTGAGTCATTGTCAGCTATTTTTTAATAGTTTTCATTTCACAATTTCACAACCTCCTATATTATGTAGCTCTTAACAATGTTTTTTTTTTTCATTTTTGTTTTTTTTTATTCCTTCCATACGCTGTTTTGACATCCATTCTGGTCAGGAAGGTGGCAAACTGTTTCTTTGACCTTTGATATTTCCTGTTGATGTAATACACTTATTACGTGTATATTTAATTTCAACTGTCTCTTTTTTATTCTAATCCTTTTTTGTTTTCACATTTCTTGTAACTACCTCGACGCTTATGTGGTCTGTTCATGCTATCCTCATCATCCTTCTGTAGAACGACATATCTGTTGCTTACAGTTTTCTCTTTATCCCTGAGAAAATTGTCCAGCATTTGCTGGACAATTAGTACTCTAGTTGTTCAGTACTCTTTTCTTTGGTACGAACGAAATTTTCCTTTTCTTAGAATTCTGTTTAGTTTTTTTAAAGGCGTCTTTACTCTTTCAATAAGTATTCGGATTTCTGTGTGACGTTTTCTCGCCTCTGGTAAAACACTTCCCAAATATTTAAACTTCGTTTCTTGCTTGATTTTCATATCACCAGTTCGTAGCTCGCATTTTGAGCTTATCCTGTTGCCAAGAATCATACATTTTGCTGAGGCATTTCATCCTGCTTTTCTTGTGTCTAGGAGGTCCTGGAGTTTCCCGCTTGTGTCTGCCATCAACACAGTTTTATATGCGTATCTTATATTGTTAAGATTACGCGCACGGATTACAAATCAGGGGCGGATCTCCCGCTCCCCGAGAATAGCCTTGCTGTAGAAGATGAATTCAGGGGAGGGGGCGGGGTGGTAATTTATTCCTTTGCTTTTCTTCTTTCATTCATTCTTTTGTTCATTTTCGCTTCTTTACTTTCTCACTTGTTTCATTCTTTTTTTTATTAAATTTTTCTTTGCTTCATTTTCGCTGAATAAAGTACCTTCCCGTTATTTGTTTTTATCTTTCTAACACGTTCACGTTTTTTATTTACGTCTTCCTTTCTTCCTTCCTCCCTTCCTTCCTTCTTTCCTCCCTTCCTTCCTTCCTTCCTTCTTTCCTTCCTCCCCCTCCCTTCCTTCCTTCCTTCCTTCCTTCCTTCCTTCCTTCCTTCCTTCATTGCTTCCTTCCTTCTTTCCTTCCCTTCTTCCTTCCTTCCCGCGTCCTTCCTTCCTCCTTCCCTGTCCTTCCTTCCTTCCTTCCTTCCTTCCTTCCTTCCTTCCTTCCTTCCTTCCTTCCTTCAGTCCTTCCTTCCTTCCTTCCTTCCTTCCTTCCTTCCTTCCTTCCTTCCCCTCCTTTCTTCATTCCTTCCTTCCTTCCTTCTTTCCTTCCTTCCTTCCCCTGTCCTTCCCCGTCGTTCGTTCGTTCGTTCGTTCGTTCGTTCGTTCCTTCCTTCCTTCCTTCCTTCCTTCCTTCCTTCCTTCCTTCCTTCTCCCTTTCTTCATTCCTTCCTTCCTTCTTTCCTTCCTTCCTTCCCCCCGTCCTTCCCCCGTCCTTCCCCCCCGTCGTTCGTTCGTTCGTTCGTTCCTTCCTTCCTTCCTTCCTTTTTCATTTCAATATTCTCTCCGGACCACTAAAAAAAGGGTATTTATTTTTAATTCTTTCAAATTTGTTTTGAAACTTGAATTTTATTCATTAATTTATACCAATTTATATCCACGTCCTGGGTACGACGATAAACTACGTCCGCGTCCTGGGTAAGACGATAAACTACGTCCAGCAGTAAGCCCTCTGATCAGGAGGTTTTGAGGAGCGTGGAACTACCTCTTAATTGCTGGTGTTCCCGGGTCCACCCTGACCCGGGGCGGTAGCACCTGTTAGGGTCCCAGCTATGGGCAAATAGTTAACCCCACAAGACAAGGGTCAAAACGTGTGAAAATAGGCTTTAATACCAGCAAAACATTTTTGAAAAAACAAATATTACCAGTATTACATTTTTTGAAAAACAAATATTACCAGCTATACATATTTGAAGGAAAATTTTTACCAGAAATAGATTTTTGAAGAAAAAAATATTAACAGAAATAGATTTTTGAAAACAAAAATATTACCAATAATAACAATTTTGTCGGTATTAAATAACCCATTGAGGTTGATATGCCGTAAAACAAACCAAACCAAATCTATTTATATCCCCTTGTCATTTTTTTAATTTATTACAATCAATGTTCTATATAATACCAGGTTTTGTAATTAATACTGTTCTTTTATCTTAATTTTTATAACGCATACTGTACACTTATTTTAATTTTAATAAACAATACCGGGTTTTTTTTTTTTTATTGTTATACTTAATACGCGGTTATTTTAATTTCTATAACTAATTTCGGGATTTTATTTTAAATTTTCCTGGAGAATACAGTGCTTTATTTTAATTTTTTATAACTAATAACGAACTTTTTATTTTAATTTCAGTATCTTTTATTTTAACTTGTATACTTAATACGCGGCTTTTATTTTAATTTATATAACAAATGTCAGGCCTTTATTTTATTTTTTTATAATACAGGGCTTTATTTTAATCTTTCAGTAATAATAACGAGCTTTTATTCTAATTTTTGTACATAATACCGGTCTTGTCATAGTTAATAGTCGGCTTTTATTTTAATTTCTATAACTAATATCGGGCTTTTTATGTTGATTTTTCATAAAACAGGGCTTTATTTTAATATTTCATAGCTAATACAAGTCTTTCATTTTCATTTTCATTACTAATTACAGGGTTATTATTTTAACTTTTTGTTGTGTAAGAGTAAGTGCCGTTGCCGACAATGTGTTTGAAACTAGATTGCCAGTGAGTAACATGGCTGATTCCATTATTAAGTAGATCACGTGATCATAAAGGAAGTGAATAAATAGGATGTAGCGTGATGGCTATACAATCACTGTTTCCTTTTCTTGTCTCTCCACTATTGCTATACGTTCACTCTCTCTACTCTACGGATTACGATTCTTTTCAAATCATTATATTTGGCGATTACTACTTGAACAAGTATTACTAGTGCGGATATTATTGGAAGGTGTTTCTACTATTAGGTTGGTGCAAAAATAATGACGTAATAATGTCGTTTTTGACGTGTTTTTTAACGTCAAAAAACGGCATTATTACGTCATTATTTTTGCACCAACATAATAGTACCGGCGTCTACGAAGTCTCAAATATAACGAGCATTTTTGGAAGTGATAGCGAGCTTTCGTTTGACATAGCAAAAATGGCAACCGAAGCCGTCCAACATCACAAAAGTGGCGACGAGGATTTGCACGGAATCACAAAACTTTTATAATTAATACCGGAATTTTATTTTATTTTAATACCGGTTTTTTTATTTTAATTCTTATGACGAATACCGTTTTTATTTTAATTTCTCTACGTAATACCGGTTCGGCATCAATAGGTTAATTTCAAGGGGAATAAAGTTAGAAATGACGAGAAATATATTCGATTTGAACCTGACGGTCCCCATAAGAATCGTGGCGGACAAATCAATTGGTCGCCACTTACCGACAGCAGCTCCATGTGCTTGCCGGGAGGCCATGGTATGTCCCAAAGAATTGATCGTTTTTGAAAATTCTTCAAAAATAAATTGCGAAAATATGCAATGTGCAATTCCTTCAAACAGACTTCGAATTCCAAATATTTTTGTCTGTAAGTAAAGATTACGTATTCCTGGAACTACCACCTCCCTGCACAAAATTCTAGACATAGTTTGTGACGTTATTTTAGGAAAGTCGACTCAGTCGTAAAAGACACGTTTTTAATCATTTCACCCCAAGCAAGGCAATGCTGCCACTAAGACGCAAGGGTTACTGGGAGTGAAATACAAATAGGAAGACCTTAGTGAAGATAAAGAACAATAAAAGAACAGGTTTCTCGAAGATAGATTGATATTGGATTTGAATTTTTGAATCAGGTAGGTATCAGGGAAGCAATGAACCGGAAGAGAGTTCCACAAGCGAGAAGTGCGAGAAAAAAAGAAACTATTAGAATAGAACTTACGGTTGCATCTAGCTATTTCAACAGTAAAACGGTGAGACCTAGTTGCCAATCTAGTACTGCGCTTCAATTCATGCGGCCATTAGAGAGCTCATTAGAACAACTGCCATGAAAATATTTATAGAAAAGGCAGAGGGAGGCCACGTCACAGTGGCGAGAACGTGACAGAAGTCGAGATGCCAGGTCAGGAGCGATAACATTGCAGACTCTTCTTTGGATTTTGCCGAAAATCTCGAGATATATAGCAGGCATACTAAACTAGATATGGTAGGAATATTCAATGCACGGGAAAATGGTAGATTTATGTTAAATAATCGTTTAGCAGAGTAATATTTTTTTAGAAAAAGTGTATCTCTGCTCGGAGGTTGACCTTAGAGGTCAGGTACAAGACAAAATACGGAAGTTGATTTTGATTGGCTAATCGAGCGTGCGAAAGGAGACAGATCGAGAAAGGTTTATCAGGGAGTTGACCCTTAACCGTCGAACAATGTAGACGTGTTCCCTTTCGTGTCTGGAACTTGTCCTCAGTCAAGGCGAGCGACTCAACCGGTTAGATAGATGATATCAACATGAACGTTAACAAAATAGTTAAGCTTAAAATTACTTTTCATGAAGTTCTTTTGTCTCTAGACTCAAAACAGCTAGCGAACACCGGCCGAGAGAGAAAAATGAAACTTTATTATCTACTTGACGCCGAGCATGAGGAGGCTATACAACATTTATAAGTCTTCAAGATGAATTCTGACACAGTGAACCAACTTTTCTTGTGCCGTTTATGAAAGAAAATACTGTGGATGATTAAAAACAAATGTTGATTTTTCTCTTTTGTGACAAGTGATGAAAAGTGGATACTGTACAACAACATACAACGGAAGAAATATTCGAACGTATGGAATAAATCAATGCTAATTGTATAAAATGGCAGTCTTTAACCTAAGAACGTTACATTGTGTATATATTAGTGTTAAAATAGGGTTCTCTACTATGAATTCCTTCCAAAAAATGGAAGATTGATTTGAACAAGTACTGATACAATTTACTCCAAATGCACAATCACCATAAATATTCTACAGTTCTTTAAGGGAAAGCTTAATGTTCCATCAAGATAACACCTTTACTTAGTGAAAAGGTAAAATTTGTGAGAGCATATAATTCACTCATCCGATGTAGCCTTCAGATATGGCAGATTGGCAATTATTTATCGCAATGGAAAATAACTCAGGGTCGTGGATGATGACAAATGGCTCAGAATTTCTTTGCTTAGAAAGATAAAACACAAGGGAGGAAAGAATTATGAAATTCCGTAAAAGATGACAGAAAAGAGTACGATATGAATGCTGTCATTTATTAAGCTCACATTAGAAAGGAAAATACTTGAAATCCTACAGAAGGCAGTAAAGTGAGAAGAAAGGACTAAAGGTCAATTGTAAGAAGATAGAAGGTTCCGAAATCCGATGTTCCATTTGGATAGCTCAAGATGCATTCCGAAAGCCAAGCAAAGTAATAGGACACAGGAAAATCTCGTTAGAAACAAAAAAAAAAGAGTACTTAACTCTTATGTAATATCGGTCCTCCTCTATGCAAGTGAATGATGTACAATCTGGTCACAGATGAAGAAAAGACCTGAATCAACAGAAATGTGGTTCTACAGAAGGAAGATGAGAATACAATGATCTGAACGTGTGTGCAATGACAAAGTTGTGAGGAAAAAGGTTGGTAGAACAGAGATTAGGAAATAGAGTGAAAAGGTAAAAAGTGATAAAAAGGACAGGATATTGTGGAGTGCCGTGATCAACCCAGTCCTGAAGGAACACTGCACATAGAGGAAACAATACAGGATCAAAATGCTTTGATACCAAATCAGATTGAAACTCACTAATCAGCGCTAATGGTAAATTAGACGAGATCATTAAACTTTAACCTACGTCGAGGGGGGCCAAATGTAGGTTCGATGAAGTTTGAGCTGCTTCTACTACTCCTAATCATCATCATCATCATCATCATCATATTATTATTATTATTATTATTATCAGCAAGATTTTTTCTTTTTATGTGCCGTATCTTTCGGGACGTAGGCAATCGTAGCTCTCCACTTCCCCCTACCCCTTGTAGCTCTTAATGTTTCGTCCCTCTGCCAACTCCCCCAGACCATGTTCTGTCATCCACTTGCTTAAGCCCGCCAGGTATGCCATGCGTTGCTTTCCCTTGTGTCTCTCTCATTATATTCGACCTGTGAGTATCAGATTCTCCAGGCCCTCCTTTCTCATTATTACATAAATTTTTTAACTTATTATACTTTCTTTTGATATCATATAACTCGTTAAGCTGGTACACATTCGCCTCAACCCCCCCATATATATATTCATATATATATATATATATATATATATATATATTTGTGGGTATGGATGGCATAAACAGACATAGAACATTAAATTGTACTTCTCTACGGTCAAGCTTCAATGAAAAGATTACTCAATAGCGTTGAAATTAATTTTCGAATACCTTTCCCAGTTTTTATCGACAATTTTTTTTTTAAAGTACACACGTAAAATGTCTTTAACACAGAATGATAAACATTCTCTACTTT